ATAGTTTAACATGGAGGACGGAAATAAGCAAGTTGCCTCTACCTGCCTTTCACTCTGTTGACCGACATAGGTGATGGCTTCTGAAGGACTGTGGGCACCTCCCTGTGGGACCTTCCCATGCTTCCTCCTTACCTTGAGGTGTCCAGATGGCCTCTCCAGAGCAAAAGAGGCAAGGAGGCAGTGTAATTGACTTGTCACGTTCAGACTGCTAGGCGGCCTGTCATCTGCGTCTGTAGAAGGGAGTGTGCATACGTGCGTGCTTGCATACATGCGTGTTTGGGGGGTCAAGTGTATGAGCATGTCTGTGGTGTGTGTATCTCTGTGTATATCTCTCTCTCCCTCTGTGTGTGTGTGTGTGTGTGTGTGTGTGTGTGTGTCTAGGACTGAACCACCCGTTCAACATCTCACCAACCAGCCAGCGTCAGGCCATTTCTCAGGGCTTTGGTGTCTGCTGAGCTGGCTCAGTTTTCAGGACTGATGGCTGAAGCTCAAAAAAGGCAAGAGTAGTGGTCCAGCCTGGGCGTCAAACCTTTGTCCCCTCACCTTCCCAGAGGGCTGCCTGCCAAAGGTCACATGCTCACTAGTGCCCACACCACCCCAGCTTTCGGGCATTCGGCCTTCAAGAGGCCAAGGCTCCCCAGGCCCAATGGGTGGTGATGTTTTTTCTATAGGCTTATGCCAGTGACAGCCATCGTCTGAGTGCCCCTTCCTCCTATGGCCTTAGCTGTCAGGACTCTGCCCCAGTGCGGGGTGGAGCCGCAGCAGTGGAGCCGGATTCTCCTATTTGCAGCCCTCTTCAGACATTTTCAGAATCTGGAAACAATTAAAGCGGCCCAGTGGGGGCTGATTGTACTCAGTCAAAGCGCCGGCTGTTGTATTTGTCAGATTGATGTTGCCGCGGGCTGGCTGCTTTGTTAGCGCTCAGTCCTGCGTGGGGCCTTGAAGGAACCGCACACTAGAGGGAGGAAAAATCCATCTAGTAATCTCAGAGGAGCAGCTCTGCCAGCTGGAGACATCATCGCCCTGGGTGTTTCCAGGGTGGGTGAGGTGCTGGAGGAGGGAGCGAGTGGCTTCTAAATGGGCCCGTCTGGTTTGCCAGACAGCCCATCCATTCTGGAGACAGAGAGAGAGATGGGAGCCTCGACCTGGACCTGCAGGCCGCCTGGCTGGGAGAGCTCACCCGGGTTAGGCAAGGCTGCTTGCTATTTCTTGGTCTCTTAAGGGCTCATCCCAGTCATGAGGAGTCAAAGGAATCACTCACTGGAGACCAGGAGGCCAGGGGAGGCTGCAGATCACCTCCATGGACCTCTGTCTAGGTTTGGTCTGTACCCCCCACCCCGACTCAGTGTCTCACAGGGAAGTAGAAGCTGAAAGGTGACACCCCCACCAAAGAAGCACCCTCAGACATATGACCGCCCCTCCCAGGAGGTCCCAGGGCTCCCAGCAGGATGGTGCTTTGGCAGCTCCCACAGAGGAACTGGCCTAACACCCCATTGGATGCTTCCTCTCAGCCTGTGTTCCCTCTTACACTTGTTCTGCTCAGCCAGTGGCTGCCTGTGGCCCTGTACAGTTAGTTCCCACGGCTCAGGGGAGGGAGGTATGTGCCATGTGCGTAGTCTGGTCCTGACTCACCCTTGGAGTCAGCAGTTGGGCTCTGGCAGGGGCCTGAAAGAAGGGACACCCCCAAGGCCTGACAACACTTTTTGTTTGTGTGTTTTCTTTTGTTTTCTTTGAAACAGGGTTTCTCTGTGTATCTTTGGCTGTCCTAGAACTCACTCTGTAGATCAGACTGACCTCGAATATACAGAGATCTGCCTGCCTCTGCCTCCCGAGTACTAGGATTAAAGGTGTGCGCCACCATGCCCGGTCTGACAGTCCTTTATTGAGAAGTTCACCTCTGCCCCATCCTAGAACCCAGAGGTCTGCAGAGGCCACACAACCACACTGTGTTCCCTTCATACTGTCTTGGGCAACCCTAAATTGTATCATCTTTGATTGCTCGGTCACACGAAGGATTGCATTCTGGTTAAAGTGATCTTTGTTCCGGGGGGGACCAGAGACACCCAGAACTTGATGGACCTGTGGCCAAGCCAGCACTTGTAGGTCATCTTGTACAGAAACTTCCTCCAAGCCCCCATGCCCCTCCCTCTGGTGGTGGAAGTGTGCTGTGTCACAGCCCTGTAGAAGCCCACATCCAGTGTATCACCCACCATTGTGCCGTGTGACCACCCTTGGGTCTGCGCAGACCATGTGACCATCCTTGGGTCTGTGCAGACCACATGACCACCCTTGGGTCTCTGCACACCACGTGACCACCCTTGGGTCTGTGCACACCACATGACCACCTTGGGTCTGTGCACACCACGTGACCACCCTTGGCTCTGCGCAGACCATGTGACCATCCTTGGGTCTGCGCAGACCATGTGACCACCCTTGGGTCTGTGCACACCACGTGACCATCCTTGGGTCTCTGCACACCACGTGACCACCCTTGGGTCTGTGCAGACCATGTGTGGCCAGGCTCCCCTCTCCTCACAGTTCTCCATGGCTGTTGTTATTTTTCCCTGTACCCTCTACACCAGTGGTTCTCAACCTTTCTAATTCTGTGACCCTTTAATACAATTCCTTATGCTGTGGTGACCCCAAACATAATATTTTCATTTTCATTGCTGCTAAGTGTAATTTTCCTATTGCTATGGATCATAATATAAATGTCTGTGTTTTCCGATGGTCTTAGGTGACCACCATGAGAGGGTTGTTTGACCCCTAAAGGGATCACGACCCACAGGTTGAGAACTGCTGCTCTGCACCCATGGGTGGGGGCGTGCTCTTGGAGTCTGCCCTTTGGGAACCTCTGCCTGAGCACTTGGGCCTCAGTATTTTGTATTAAAACCCTGGACAGCGTTTGGACTCTTGTTTAGAGTTCTGCCCAGTTCCCTTTTTAGGGGAAACTGGTTTGCATAGTCTCCCTGCTCCATCCCAGGTGTGCAGTGCCCCCATGCCCAGGTTGCAGCGCCCCCATGCCCAGTACCCACGGCACAGGCCCAACCTCCCAGGTCAGCAGGAGCCACCATCTCTTTGACCTGACCACCCCCCCCCACACACACACATACACATGGAAAAGCTGGGCATATGTTGTCCCCTGGCAGTGCCCCACCAGGTGTGGGCATGGAAGGAATGGCACATACCTGTAGTCAGCACTTAAGAGTCTGAGGCAGGAAGATTGACTCGAGTTCACGGTCAATTTCGGATACGTAGGGAGAGTGCCTAGGAGACTGTATCTCAAAACAAAACAAAACAAAACAAGGAAGTGAGTGAGTGGAGTTGTCCCTTTGGCATGGACCCAGTCAGCCAGTGTACAGTGTGGCTGAAGAGCCTGCAGCTCTCGCCACAGACCTGTTCAGGTTCAGCCTCCCCTTCACAGTTTGGGTCCAGTGCCAGGTACTTATTGAGCGTCTCTGGAACCCAGGGTCCCTGTTCTTTAGGAGGTAAGGGAGGAGCAGTTGGCAGACTGAACACCAGGCCATCTTGGAAGTCAGCCTGCACCCCATCCCACGATGGCACACTCTGTCATGTTGTCTACACTGGCAGAGTCCCACTCTGGGAACAGGGGTGCAGTTCACAGCACTGTCTGAGGCCGTGACAGGGAATGCCAGTGTCCGTTAGCAGATGGTGCATTCCCGGGAAGGTGTGTCCGTGCCCTGAGGGCTCACTCAGTTGTGAGGAGGCATGGCTTGTGATACAGTGTGGGTGCACCCCAAAGCATGATGGGAGAGGTCGAAGCCAGACACACTGCAAGCCATGCGATCTCATGGACTTGAAGTGCAGCCAGGGAGTGTGTGCCAGGAAAACCTGGGAGGTGCAGAGTTTCTTCCTGGCTTGTGAGAGCGTTCTAGAACAGGCAGAGGTAGCAGTTGTATGAGCGTGTGCATGTATCTAGCGCTGCTGGACCGTGTACTTTACTTCTCTGGGTGGCCAGCAGTCTAGATCCTCTGGAAAGAGTTGAAGAGGGTGCGGGGGATGGGACTCGGACAGGAACATGTTTGCTTCATATACCTATGCCTGAGATGGATTCCCAGCATGCCCTTGGTGGCTCACAACTATCTCTTAACAGGTGCTGGGGACCTGTCACCCCCTTCTGGCCTCTGTGGGCACTGTACATACATGGTCCACAGATATACATGCAGGCAAAACATAAAAATAAATCTTTAAATTAATATGTGTGTATGTGTATATGCACAGTGACTTGCATCTGTAACTCTAACATGGGGGAAGGGTGTGGAGACAACAGGATCCCTGGAGCTTAGCCTCGGCCTCCGTGAGAGACCCTGTCTCAGAACGCAGTATGGAGAAGTGATTGAGGAAGACACCTGCCATTGGCCTCTGGCTTCCACATACATGTGAATATGTGCATTGCATAAACATGGTCACACCCACACAGGAGAGGAGGGAAGTGTGCTGGCGTGTTAATTGCACCCAATAGAGATGGCAGCCTGGCCCCTAAGATCTGGTACAGCATAAGCTACAACCCAGGGCTCTAATGCCCGCACTGCTCACCAGGGACACTCTCAGGAGCGTGATGAACGCCAGGCTAGCTCCTCACTGGTGTTCTGCAGCAGGGCCTCACATCCCCTGGTGTCCAGCACCCGTCATGGATGAGCAGCTGGGTCTCAGTTGTGTTAGCAGGGCCCAAGCGCCTGCTCTCCTCTCACGGGGGATTGGCACTATCCCCAGGGGCTGGTTCAGGGAGACTGTTGTTTGTCCTCCCAGTCCTGCTCTGTGGCTGACGGAGGGATTCAGCCTTGTCTGCAGCCTCTGGGCACACAGTGTCCTGTCACAGCTTCCTGAAGCCCATGCTCCCCCCCCCGCCCCACCCCCGGCAGCTGTGCCCCCAGCAGTGTTCCTGTCAGACCTGAGCAATCACACACCTTCCTGTTGGGAGCCATGCATCTGTGGGAGACAGGACAGTAGCAGCTGCTGACCCCTGCTGAGGGGTCCCTGCCTTCATGCAAAGGAGGATTCAAGTCTCACCTTGACAGTGTTCAGTGTGTGTGTGTGTGTGGGGGGGTCCTAAGGTCAAATTCCAGAGGTCTGTCGTGGATGTAGGAAACCTGAGAACTGAACAGGGGTTCTGAAAGATCCCACCTCAAGCCCAGAGTCCCGACCCAGGTGCAAGCTGGGCAAGGGTGAAGCAGGTGCCAATTCCCATGCCCCCAGTAGATGGCGCCCACGCCCTGAAAAGGAAGCTTGTCTGGGAAGGTGGGGGAGGGGCAGCTGGCTGTATCCTCCCCTCCCCCCTTTATTCTTGCACAGATAGGTTTAGTGACTGGCAGAGCGAGAGAGGGTTCTTCTTACATACTTGGATCTTGTGGTTCCATCTTAGCCATGGGCAGCATGGGGAGTGACCATGTTGGCACAGTGGGTGTCCCGTATACAGGCAAACCTACTAGGTTCCCTGCCGAGGTTCACATTTCCAAGTTGTCGATGGGTAAACACAGAGAGGTACATTCACTTGTCTAAGGTCACACAGCTGAGAGCACAACCCTACATTGCGGGGCAGTGGGAGGCTTTTGCTGGAAGCTGGCTCCATGCCATTCAAACACCCTGACCAGATTTCTCTGCTTAGTCTCCAGAGCTGGTGCTGCTGAAGAGGGGGGAGCAGGAAGGTGGAGGCTCCAGGCACATGCCCTGAGATGTCAGAACTATTACACAGTGGACAGGAAGTCTGCTCAAAACGTGCCGGGTCAAAGTTGTGACCCCATTTTAGAGATGTGTCTGCGGGTAGGGGTGTCAGGCCCTGGCTGAGGCCCAGATGGGTGAAGGCTTTTGGGCCCCCTGAGGCATAGGGCCACTTTCCTGTGACCCAGTTCGGTACAGTGTTCTGCTGAGACCTTTTCTTGCTCCTGAGCCCTGAGACCCAGCTGGCAAGCGGTATGGGAAAGGCTTTAGCAACCCCTCATCCGAGGCTGGGTGCTCCAAGCCCTGTCGGCAGTGTTTATTTTTGTTTGCAGGGTGTTTGTTTTGGTTTGGATTGGTTTGGTTTTTCAAGACAGGATTTCTCTGTGTGTAGCCCTGGCTGTCTTGGAACTCACTCTATAGACCAGGCTAGTTTGAACTCACAGAGATCCTCCTGCCTCTGCCTCCCGAGTGTTGGGATTCAGTTCTACCTGGCTTGTTTATGTGTTTCTATACTTATTTTGAGTAGCATTGAGGAAGAGGACATTGGATTTAATACTGCAGATTTTTTTAAAAATTCACTTGAGGCGGATGTAGTGGTGCACACCTTAAATCCCAACACTTGGGAGGCAGAAGCAGACAGATCTCTGGTCTACATAGCAAGTTCCAGGACAACCAGTGCTACACAGAGAAACCCTATCTCAAAAAAAATAAAAAATAAAAAATTACTTGAGACAAGAGTGGGTCCCTTATAAACAGGAACTCACAGAAACTTGATATTTTGAATACAGATTTCCTGGGGTATTTAAAATATATTCTCAAGTGTTTGTGTGCCCTGGTGCTCATGTGGCCGTCAGAGGATAATCTGTGGGAGTTGGGTCTCTCCTCCCGCGTGGGTTCAGAGTGTGAACTCAGGTTGTCTGCTTGTCAGCGGCTGTCTTATTTATTGACCCATCTAGTTGGCCCTGGCATGTTTTTATTTGTGTTTGTTTAATGCAAACATGGGCTGGAGAGATGGCTCGTTGGTGAAGAGCACTTGTTTTTACAGAGGACCTGGGTTCGATTCCCAGCACCCACATGGTGGCTCACGGCCATTTGTAACTCCAGTTCCAGGGGATCTGGCCCCCTCTCCTGACCTTCTTGGGTTCCAGGCACACACATAATACATAGGCATAAATGCAGGCTAAACATTCATATACATAAAATAAAATAACAAGTAAATAAAAATATAAACAAGCAAGCATAGTGAAGTACAGTGCTGCTTCCAGGTAGCCAGTGGAGCTGCGGAGAGGAGACCACCAGTTCAGCTGCCTCTGCGGCAGTGCCTTGGGGTGGGTAGGGGTCACAGCTGTCACTCTGCAGCCTTCTCCATTGGCCAGCAGCCTGCAGCTCATTCAAAGCAGTTCTGTGGCCCTGTGCCTCAGTTTCCCCTTCACTCTGTCTGGTGTGCCCTGCCTATGCCATGGGGCTATGAGCATCAGATCAGACATGCACAGGCACTGTTCTGATTGGTGAGGGGGGTATTTATTGTGTTTTATATGTATGTATGTATTGGTGTGTGTGTGTGTGTGTGTGTGTGTGTGTGTGTGTGCCATGTAATGCAGTAACTGCAGAGGTCAGAAGAGGTCATCAGATCCCCCTGGGAATGGAGTTACAGGCAGTTATGAGCCGCCCTATGTGGATTCTGGGAACCAAACTTGGGTCCTCTGGAAAAGCAGCCAGCACTCTTAACCACACAGCCATCTCTCCAGCCCAAGGCTTCCCTTGGCTTCCTTGCCTTTATCTAGGAGGCTCCAGGTTTTCCTTGCCTAGATTAAGAGTGGAGGCTTAAGGGAAGCCGGGTTCCTGATGGAGGAGCTAAATGCAGACAGGAGGCTGTGGCTTGGCAGCCTTTTCTCTGCAGTGTGGTGCCAGGGCCCAGCAGTCACTCTGTGCTCTGCACCCACAGATCTGAGGGGAGCTGGCTCTGTTCAGGTTCCAGAACATTCCAGTCTTCTGTCCCTGAACAGCCTCCCAGCACGTGGTTGGCTGAGGTGGGCAGGCTCTTCCGTGCAGATAGATGTGTGTGTGGAGGTCTGGGGAAAGTGCAAGGCTCTGCTGCCCATTGACTAAGACCTTGAACAAGGCCCCCTCTGCTCCAGGCTGAGACTCACTGGCCAAATCAGCATGAAGGCTCCACTTCTACAATGAGGGAGCATTGCAGGAGCGCCCCACCCCCAGGGACTCAGGGTGGACCCCGCTAGGCCACGTGGTCTCCTTTATTTGCTGTGTCCCCTCCCCCCACAGTATTGTGATTCCATTACAAAATCTGTCACCTTTGCCAGCACCTTCCCATATGGCATGTCCTCTGAGCACACTGCTTGCACATCTGTCTGTCTTGGAAAGCCAGGCAGAAGAGGTGGTGCAAGTAGGTGACAGAGTCCTGTGGCCGGAGCTGGTGGCCAAGGTGGTCTTGCCCGCCTAGGTCCTCCTGGCAGGTTCAGCTTCCGGGCCACTCTGAGGTCACCGAGCAGCCAGGAGAGTGGCCAGGTGACCCTGCTGCCCTACACGTCCTTTTGTGAAGACACAGGAGAAGCCTAGGAAGATCGTGGCTGATACGCCCACCATACAAAGAGTCCTTTGAACACAGATGATGTGGACTGCCCAGCCGGTGGGCACTCCTGTCAGCCCTGAGCCCCACGGGGTAGCTGAGGCCTGGGAAGTGCGAGGGCCATCCTGCCAGGTCCCCATTCTTATGCTACAAAGGACAGGCCACTCAATGGTGGCTGGTGGTGCTCACACCCCGCCC